AAAAATGAGTTGCAGAGAGGGAAGCCCAGCTGGGAGGGGTGAGTTAGAAGACAGGGAGAGCCGCAGGCCAGGGCTCTCTCCTTTGAGCCAGACTCAGCAGCTCCCCAGCTGGAGCTGCCCTGCCACTCTCGGGGCCTCCGTGTCCCTTCCTCGCAGAGCGGCGGGTACGGACAAGCTGGTATTTATGACAGCCTCGGTCCTTCTGCGCCTCCACGTTGAAGGGGGTGGTTTCCTGGGTCTCGCCTACATTTAGGGTCTGTTAGAGCAGGAGGGCGGGGGCGGGGAACAGGGGACTCTGGAGTTTTGCTCAGTTAAACAGCAGCAACACTGATAACAACACAAGTGGGAAACCCACCCTATTCAACACCAAAAGTGTGCCCAGCGGGCAGAGCAACCTTGTCTCCCTGGCCTGCGCAGCTGCTAAGTTATCGGATAGCTGTGTAGACGAGGGGCCACTTGGCTTCCTACACAGGAGCTGGGCAGAGTGTGCGTGAGCGTCTCTGAGCCGGGGCTCTTGGACCTGGGTCAGGGCCAGCAGCTCCCCCGCCAACAGGGCCCCAAAGATAATGTGTGCGCCTAGCGGCTCCTACATGACAGTGTTTCCTAAGTGAGAGACTGACGAACGGGCGCCCTTGGGCGCTGCACCACCCCCGTCTGTCCAGCCCCTGGGGAGCCTGTTTTCCTGTCCGTGGGCTCCTGCTCCAGGCGGGGCTTGGCCAGGTCGGGGGTGAGAAACCAGAAGCCGCACGAACCCACCAGTAACAGTGACGTTGGTCCTCGGGGAGGAGGGGAAATCCACACGGACATCTTAGGGAAGAATCCTGCGGCTCGTGTACATCACGAGCCCTGAGCTGGCACGTTGTCCTGGTCGCGTGGAGTGTGTGGCTCCGCGCTGGGCCGCCTGTGGCTCCGGGCCCTTCCGCAGGAGGTGTCAAAGGCGCCCAGGTCTTCCTTGCGTGTTGGTCGCTGTCCAGGCCCGAACTGAAAGCACACAGTCCACCCTTGCTCATCCTGCTGGAAGTTGCCTGGGGGGTGAGGGGGCTGAGGGGGCTGAGGGGGTCCTGCTGCCACCTGGGATGCCCCGGGGGAGGGGAGCCCATGTGGGGGTCTCTTTCTGCTCGCTGGTGTCCAGAGCAGGGTCCCAGGTCCCACCTGTGAAGGCAGAAATGGCCCCCCTGCCATCAAATCACTCTGTGGCTTTCAATACAAGGTAATAATGACTCTTGTTCAGGGAGCTGGATGTTCCTTGAAGGAGAGAGAGCACGTCGTGACGTTGTTTTCTACTTGCTGAAAGAAGTCGGTGGAAGTGGAGACACTGTGTTCTCACACGCACCCCTTCAAATGTCCCCAGTGCCTTGTGGCTGGCCGTCTGGGGACAGGGCTGTGTGGCAGACCTAGACGGTGTCCCTAAGGCCACGCAGGCCCCTGCACCATCCACCTGTCACAGATGGGGAAGCTGAGCCTGGGAGATGGGTCACGGCTGAGTGGCCAGGTGGGATCTGAGCCCAATGTCCTTGCTGCCTGTCTGGACTTTGCCCGCTGTGTCATGCTATGTCCCTTTTAAAGCCAAAAGAAAGGAGGAAACAGTGCCTTCTTTCATCCTCTCCCACTGCTCTACCTGCTGCCGAGACCCAGGCCCGCTGCCTTGGGGAGTCTGCACTCTCCTGGGGAACCCAGCAGAACCCCGTCCCCACCCCCAGGCCCTCCAGCTCACAGTCTTTTTTGAGAGGGGAGGTGCGTTCACTCCCTTTCACACTGGTGCCCCCACTGAAGGCATTTGGGTTACATGACAGAGCCCACCTTTGGTCACTTGCTTACCTCTATCATGGACTTGAAACAAGACCTCCTCCCTGTCTCCTCTCCCTGTACATGTGGGAACGCAAGGTGGGGGGAGTGATTATTTTTCAAAGAGCTTTTAAGACGATTACTAAAATGATCTATCCATGTGTCTATCTCTCTGCCCAGCCTACCCCTCAAAAAAGAACTCTAGTGTTTGCTATGAAAATATTAGCCAATCCGACCAACAGGAATTCAGAATGAAAGGCAGAAGATAACCTGCAGAAAAAACTGAAAGCAGGAACTTGAAAGAATATTTGTACGGCCATGTTCACGGCAGCGTTATTCACAATAGTCAAGGGTACCAGCCACCCAAACATCCACAGACGCATGACTGGATGAACAAAACATGGTCTATACACACAGTGGAATATTACTCAGCTTTAAAGAGGAAAGACGGGGCGTCTGGGTGGCTGAGTCGGCTAAGCGTCTGGCTTCGGCTCAGGTCATGATCTCTCGGTCTGTCAGTTCAAGCCCCAAGGTCGGACTCTGCTGACAGCTCAGAGCCTGGAGCCTGCTTCGGATTCTGTGTCTCCCTCCCTTTCTGCCCCTTCCCTTCTCATACTCTGTCTCTATCTCAAAAACCAACATTAAAAATTAAAAAAAAACAGAAATAAGGTTTCCAAAAAATAAAGAGAAAAGAAATGCTGATACCGGCTATGGCACGTACGACCTTTGAGGACACGCTCAGTGAAGCAAGCCAGTCGCAAAATGACAGACACTGTGGGCGTCCACTTATGTTAGGTTTCTGGAGCAGTCGCAGTCACATTTGTGGAGATGGAGAGTGGACGGTGGTTCCCAGAGCCTGGAGGATGTGGAATGGGGGAGTTCATTTTCATGGGTACAGAGTTTCAGGTTCACAAGATGAAAGAGTTCTGGAGATGGATGGTGGTGTGCTGACAGTTTCACAACAAAAGGGACGTACTGACTGCCACAGAACCGGACACTGAAAAGTGGTTAGACGGCACCTTTATGTGTATTTTACCACAGCTGAGGGGGTGGGGAGAAGAAGACAGCCCGTTAGGGGAAATGATCAGATCCACACTGCATTGAAAGAGGTCTTGTTTTGTGTCTCAGTCCCCCATTAGGCTACGAGCTTTTCCAAGGCAGGGACTCCTATGCCCCATTCATCTTCCTGACCCCACCACCTAACCCAGGTCCTCAAAATGTTAGGTCCTCACGAAACGTTTGTTGCACTGAGCTCACTGTGTGGTTACTGACTACTGTGCACTTGCACGGCATCACGGCTTACGGAATGCTGGCATGTGCACATGGTCACATTTAGTCGCACAGCCCTTTGCCCTCTCCCCCAAGGGAGTGAGCCCAGACACCGAGGGCCGGAGACACGGTGCGTCAGATTCCAGGCCTCTTGGAAATCGGCTGTATGATGGCTACAAAATCGGTGGAGAGGCTTTTCAAACCTCCTTATTACCTTAATTTTCTGAGATGAAAATTATATGTAAAACCGGGGCTGATAACACGTTCCACTTTCTCCATGGCCCGTTGTGTGTAGGGCACTGTGCCGAGCCCACAAAAACCTTTCCTCGGCTCATTTCCTACATCGCAGGCCTACAATGCCTGTGTCAGTATGCCTCTCTGTCTGAGGAGCAGACACGGGCTTGTGTGGCTCGTCCAAGGTTATAGCTTTGGGACATGGTATCACCCAGGCCTTGCCACCAAAGCTCAGGTGCTTTCTCACGCTTCTGATGCTATCAGGTCTACAGATTCTGTCCCATTTCTACCTTTTCTGCATGGACAGCGATCATTAATATCGTAAAGTCTTAGCTTGAGGCTTACTGGTTAGGTGACCCACTTCCTCACCTGTAAAATGGGGGGGATAATAGTGCCCATTTTGAGCATTAAAGGAATGAACACTGAAACCGGCATAGGTTTACTCGCAAAGAGGGGGAAAGAAATTTCAGGCATTAAGATGTACTAGTGACATTGACCAGACTCCAAGCCCCTTGGGATTAGCCAGTGAAGTCTACCTTGGTCTGGTGTTTAGGAAAAGGCGTACAGAGGCGCTGTCCATTTACACAGTGGCCCCTGCTGCCAGTGCCTTCTCCCCAGGGATGGAGCCACTTTCCTTATGAAATGGTGTATTTCATTTGAAAGGCAATGAGTTACATAGTTAGTTGATCCTGTCCCACTTTGGACTTGGCTGTTGCGAACTCGCCATCAGGTTGTGAGTCATGGACGCCAGCGACCTCTCTGGTCCAGGCGATGTGGTTCAGTGATTTCTTCAGCTCCTTTTGCTTCTTTTATCACAGTTTTACCTTTTTGTTTTCGAATTTACCTATTTATTTTGAGAGAAGAAGAGAGAGTGGGGTAGGAGCAGAGAGAGAAGGGGAGAGAGAATCTCAAGCAGGCTCTGCGCAGTCAGTGCGCGCAGAGCCCGACGTGGGGCTTGATCCCAAGAACCGTGAGATCACGGCCTGAGCCGAGATCAGGAGTCAGATGCCTAACTGACTGAGCCACCCAGGTGCCCCTGCACGTTCCACCTTTTGGAAAAAATCCTTGTTGCTAATTATAAGCCACAGATGCGGTTGGGTATAGATGATAAACCCACGTTCATTGTAATTTAGTGTCAAGGGTGTTTTATTAAATTGTACAAAAGCAGATTGTTCTTATAATAGCTTGCATGGTAAACAGACTGTTATATTGCCCAATGTTTTAGATAAACCGGCTTGAAGAATCTGGTCACACATTAAAAGCGGGTTATTCACATTAACATTGTGATGTTTTCTGAATGTATGTTTCTACTCAGGGCGCTTTTAAACAGTAAAAATGGTTCTTGACAAGAGGACCAGCATCATCAAACCCAGGCGAAAAATAAAGTCCAGGGAAGCAGGGGACGGAGCTGAGAAATGGGCATCTGACCGCGGGAGGCAGATAAAACAGCTCTTTGTCTCACACCTCACAGTGCCCCATGGAAAACCTTTAAACAGAGCTTGTGAGAACTTTCCTTACTTGTCAAGGCCAAGGTGGGCTCCCTCCCCCCACCCCTGGTTGCCATGTAAACATTCCAGTGACTTCATCACAAGTACAACTTTTAGAGGTTCTTCGGCCCAGGGCAGAAGGTGGGAGCCTGCCTCATTCCAAGAGTGGTTGGTTACCAATGTAAACTGTGCCTGATTTCTCTCTCTCTCTCCCCCCTTCTTTAGCCAAACACATCCTTGTCATTAACAGACCTTTGAAACTGAGTAAAATGTCTTTGAAACGCCAGTGGAATATGATAAAAGTGCCCGAGGAAGGTATGTTGTGATTTCTCCCCCCACAGATGTAACTCTTATCAAAACAAAATAATTTGTTCGTTCGTCGCCATGCAGTGAGTGTCCTCAGCCGGCCAGGTGCTGGACGGGGATGAACAGGACATCCTCTGAAGGCCTCGGTCCGCCTGGGGGCAGCAGGCTCATGAACAGATCATTACAGAACAGCGTAGTCAGACCAGAAGGTAGTGACAGCCTGTCAGGGACACGGATGAGGGCTGAACTGTGCTCCTCAAAAAGACATGGAGTCCTAACCCCCGTACCTGCGAATGTGACCTTATTTGGAAATAGAGTCCTTGCAGGTATAGTGGAGATGAGGCCAGACTGGAGGAAGGCCAGCCTTAAAGCCAGTGGCCGCCGCCCTTGTTAGGAGAGGGGTTTGCAGACATAGAGACAAAGGAAGGACGTCCGTGTGGCAGTGGACAAAGGCCAAGTGACAAGGGGCACAGACATGGGAGTCACGCTGCTGTGTGCTAGGGAACGTGAGGATGGCCAGCAACCCCTGGCTCTTAGCAGGTGACAAGGGAGGATCCTCGCCGGGTCCTTCAGAGGTAGCATGACCTGCTGGCACCTTGACTGCGCATTTATGGCCTCCAGAATGCGAGAGAATACGTCCCTGCCGCCTCCCCACTCGTGATGACTTGTTGCGGCAGCCCCAGGAAACGAACGGAGCGGAGGGCGTGTAGGGCGGGGGCAGCCACGGAGCCCTCCCCGGAGGCGATGGTCATGAGCTGTATCAGGGCGTGAGGAGGTAGCCGGACGGGAAGGTTGGGAAGGTGGCACCCGAGATCGAAGAGACGTCTGGGAAGTAGCGGCAGGCTTCTTCTAAGGGTACTTCGCCTGGCTTCCTGGAGCCCCAGCGGCCCCGACACGGGAGCTCAGGTTTTTATGTGTATGTTTCCCATGCCCTGTTCGAGGAGGGGAGGGCAAAGTGGGGAGGGATCCTTTTGTGAGAGTTTTCAGAGGAGCCATAAGGTCACAAACTGGTGATGTCAAGGGGATTTGGGGGGAGCCAGACAGGAGACGAGGCTGGTGAGGTCACCAGCTTGACCGTGACCTTGCCAGGAGCAGGCAGTACTGGGAAAAATAAACAGATGGGATGGAGCAGAGCCTGTTTCGTAAGAGAAAGCAGGCCTTGGCTTTCCGCTGGACACTGGAGGGGAAGGAAAGGGGACGCCTCAGTGTCTACTGTGGGTGATAGGAGAATGGTGGGCACTCGCCAAGATGATGGATGTGATTTGGCAGGGGAAGGGGAGGAGGGGGTGGAGGGGGAGAAGAGGAGGAGGTGGCATCTTGGGGCGAGTTGGGTGGTTGCCTTTCAAACTAGCTGAGCGGGAGGTGATGTGGAGGCTGGCTCCAGGGGCTGGTGCTCACAGACGAGATCTGGGTCTTTGGTTGATAAAGCGAGGCAAGGCCACGGTGCGTCTGTTGGCAGAAGGGCCCAGAGGGAGAACAGGATGGTCAAAGAGACAACCGGCAAAGGAAAGCAAGACACAGTAGCCGGGAGGAGGAAAATGGAAAACCCGTTGTTCCAGAAGTCAAAGATGGAAAGATCTTCCAGGGACACTGGGTAGCTAACAGCGTCAAACCCCCCTGAGACGATTAGTGTAACTTAAATGGGAGCCGTAGTGCTGAGAATCATCCATTTGGAAATGTTTTCAGAAGGCCTGGTTCAACGTGGCGAAAGCTCCCGTGGACTGTAAGTGAGGAAAGGCATTTCCAGACCCACGGGGGGACTCTGGATGCGCCTTCTTGTCCCTGATGTGCGTGAGGGAGGAATGCAAACGTGTGCTCACTAAACTACCTGAAGGCTGGGCGCTCGTCGTTTACACGTGCCTCTGATGGAGTGATTCAGCAGGCAGTGCGTGTCCGCGGCGTCTGCGGCAGCACCGTCAGCATTGTTGGGTGCTGTGCGGGGATCGTAGGCGCTTCCTTGCTCCTACGCTGTGCTTCACCCATGGTGCTCCTTGCTGTTCTCGAAATATGCTGGAGTTTTCTGCTTTTCTCCTGTAAGCCATTTCCACCTTCTCTTTCGCCTCTGTTCAGGTTATGCCATCTTCTGTCCCCCCACTTCTATATTTGTCCAAACTCACGCCATCCTACGGGGCCGTTTCACCCCAAACGCTGCTGGGGTCCCTTTGGCTGGCAGGGCTCCGTCTGTGGCTCGCAGAGTTCGGAATAGCGGAGCCATGAGCGGGAGAGCCTCTCATCATCTGTGCCTTAGTCCAGGGCCCCCAGCACCCCGAGCGCTACATAAATTCCTGCTCTGGACCCCACGGCTGAAGCACACCTTCCCCCAGAGAGGAAATCTGGATTCCAGGAGTGTCCGGCTCAGAGTCTCTTGATGTCTTCAGTCAATGTGGACGCTTGTGGCCCCTGGAAAGGGGATCAAAGTTGAGGATGAATGGCTCTGGATGAGTGGCTGAGGCTGATGGAGACAGAAGCATGTATGGTCCTTCCAACCACCTTGGGAGAGGAAACTTCTTCAGACTTGCCGTTGTGCTGACACCCTTCCCGGGGCCCAGAGGACCAGAGCACAGGGCACCCAACACGACTGATCCATAAACCAGCAATGGGTTGTGGGCTCGTCAGGCTGATTTTTAAACTCGTATCAAAATAAAAGCCAGGATGCTGGCATTCTTGAGGGCTTTGTTTTAATGGAAGCGAGTGGTTAAGGGTCCCACTTGGATTCCCCAGATATGGTTTTCCAAAAGCCATGGTGTGGCTTCCTCCCAGGGCCTTAAACTCCTCATTTGTGGAAGAGCATGTAGGCTTAAGACCAGCAGTGTTCTTGGACCCAAGCTTCATTGAATGCTTCGGAGGGCTTCCTAAAATGTAGAAGGCCGAGTCCCTCCAGAGTTTCTGACTTAATAGATCTGCAGGTAGGCGGGTGGGACTTGAGAATGTGCATTTGCGAGAAGTGTGCCCGTGATGCGGAAGCTTGTGGTCCAGGAGCCCCACTGTGAGGTAAGGCCCCTTTGGGTTTCCAAGAAGCAGAGCCTGAGGCAGGGGTTGGGAGACATGTGGGAGAGGGCGCGCCCCAGGAAAGGGCTATTAGAGGGTCAGGGAGGCCTGACGGGGTATAGTCTGGCCCTTGGCTTACACTCTGGAGCAGAAGCAACAGAGCTTTCCTGGCTTTTGTACCTCTTTTGTGTCCCACCCCTGGCTGCGGGCCAGCATAGAGAAAGGTGCAGCATCCACAGAGGACCGTTCTCAGAGAAGAGTGAAGCTGTGAGTCACTGCTACCCTCTCAATAGCTGGGGGATGGGACAGCCCCCCCACCCCCCACCCCAGCAGGGTGTGAGCGGAGACAGCTCCAGGTTCTAATGTCACAGAGGAGAAGCCAGAGGCAGGGAGGTCATGTAAACTACACAAAGCAGCAGAGCAGGAATTTGGCTCCGGGCTGCGAGATTTCTGTGATGGCACCTTGGCTGGTATATGTGCTGCAGGTGCATAGGGTCTGCCCCGCCGTCTGCCACTTTCCTCTTAACCAGGGCAGTTTCTTGATGCGGAGTGGACTTGGCCGGCCCCTGTGGGAGGTCTGGGCCAGACCAGCTCCTGCTATGGAGAGAAGGAGCAGACTGGTCTGGCCCCTCCTGTCCTTGAACCAGGAGCAAGACCAAGGCCATGTGCGATCCGGTCTGGTTAATGCATTTTCTGTATTAGGGAGGTGAATCCCTTTCCCATGAAACTGATGGATTCCAGCTACTGGAAAAGCCCAAATTCCTATCACTCTTGTTCTTGTTAACCTGCCCCGAGTATCCCCCAGCCTTGTCTTACTTGGAGATGCCAGGGCAGGGTCACTGGATGGCGGGGGCCTTCATCGGTGGTCAGGTAGGAAGACACAGGGGATGTGTCCTCCCTGCATGCCAGGTGCTCTACTAAGGTCTTGATATTCATCATCTCATATTTCTTATAGGGTCTTGTTTCCGCTGACACATTGGAAAGTAAGACTGACATTTAACTAACTTACCCCCAAGTTACTTAAATTGACCTAGCTGTAGGTGGACAGGGATTTGCATCAGGGTCTTTCTTTCCTAAATTCTATGGCTTTAACTCACCTCCTCATGTCTTTTGAGGTCATCCTATCTGGCATCCTCTTTTGTGGCTTTAGTCATACCTCATTTTCACTCAAAAATAGGCTCCTGGTTCTAAGTTACAACTTTACCAGTTTTGTGAGTTCTTGCACATACTAATTTTTTTCTCTTGATGTTGGATTGTCATGTGGCTCATGAGTTTGACCCCTTTCTTTCAAAAAACAGTGCATGGTAATACTTACCTGTGTTGCTACATAGACTTTATATTTGTTGTTTTAAAGGCCCTAACTGTCATCCAACGCATTGACCTCAGTGTCCCCAGCTAGTCTGTGATGGGCGTAGCAGTGGTCCCTGCACAGATGTCTGCCTCCTAGTCCCCAGAATCGGTGGGTGTCCTGCCTTTCACGGCAAAAGGGACTTTGCAGATGTGGTTAAGAACCTTGAGACAGGATGGTGATCCTGGATTATCTGTGGGTCCAATCTGAGCACAAGGGTCCCTATTAGAGGGAGGCGGGAGGGTCAGAGAGAGAAGAAGTGATAATGGACACAGAGCTTTAATGACGTGGGGCCATACACCAAGGAAGGCCGGCAGCCTCTAGAAGGTGGAAAAGGCAAGGAACCAGATTCTCCCTGGAGCCTCACAAAGGAGTGCAGCTGCCCATCCTTTGACTGTAGCCCTGTGAGACTTGCACTGGACGTCTGACCTCTAGAGCTGTAAGATAACACATCTGTGCTGTTTGAATCCCAAATTTGGTAGGCAGTACTGCAACCGCCACAGGGGGCTAGGACTCGGCCCCTGCTTGTCTGGGCCCAGAGCTGTCCCTCCTCCCTGCTGGGGGATTCCCCTCCCCCGTAGCTCATGCTTATGCTTGTCGTTATGTTCTGGGCATTGTGCAGAGGGCAGGTTACGTAGGCTTTTTCAGGGCCTCTAGAAAGTAGCCTCCATTATGATCTCCATTCCACAGCAAGGAGCCAAGAGATGCTGAGGTCCTTTCCCAAAGCCCCCCGTGCAGCTAGAGATCCTTGTGTTACCACTCTAGTGACCATGTAGGCGGGGGTGTGAGGTGGCGCTGCCTTGGCCACATACTAGAGTCGTACAGTGTGGTTTATCAAGCATTAACCCCAGATCCTACCCCGGTCCAAGTACTTTACATACACCACCCTCAGTGCGTTGGTGGCAAGGCTGGGCGAGAGGTGTTCTCTGCATTTTGTGGGTGAAGAAACAGGGCGGACAAGTAACTCCCCTGCCGCAGGTGAGCTGGGGGCTGGGCTGGGCTGCAGCTCCGGGTCCAGCCGGCCCCAGAGCCTGTGCTGGCTTCAGAGTTCTTAGCACGAGGCCACGTGACTGGAGCCTGGAGATTTCCATCTTCATCAGCTTTATTGTCAGCTCATCATGATGCATCGACCCTGCACAGAAATCCATAAGATCTTTCAGTTCTTATATTTGTGCTTCATGGAAAGTAATCTGTGCACATCATCTCAGATGACTATCTGCATCACTCAGTAACGGGTAGAGATGGAGGTACGGCCATACATCTGGGTTGGAGCTGATGGGGGCTCTGTCGTCACCCAACAATGAGATGGGACAGAGGCAGGCTTTGGATGGGTCAGTGGTGGTCCTTGAAATTCTCATGAACCGTGTCCTGATCCCCTTGCAAACCTGCCCAAATTCAAAGTACTATTGTGTATCATTTTCTCCCTAAAATGTTTTAAATTATGTGAGTTATTTGGATTATTATATGTAAATTAAAATTTTTAAAATATTTTTGAGAGAGATGCAGCGTGAGCGGGGGAGGGGCAGAGAGAGCGCACACGCGAGAGAGAGACAGACAGAATCCAAAGCAGGCTCCAGACTCCGAGCTGTCAGCACAGAGCCCGACGTGGGGCTCAAACCCATGGACTGTGAGATGCTGAAGTTGGATGCTTAACCAACTGAGCCACCCAGGCGCCCCACATCTTTCTTTTTTAAAAAAAGTTTTTTTAATGTTTCTTTATTTTTGAGAGAGAGAGAGACAGAGATAGAGACATAGACAGAGTGTGAGCAGGGGAGGGGCAGAGAGAGAGGGAGACACAGAATCCGAAGCAGGCTCCAGGCTCCGAGCTGTCCACACAGAGCCTGACGCAGTGCTCGAACTCACAGACCACGAGATCCTCACTTTAGCCGAACTCAGATGCTTAACCACCTGAGCCACCCAGGCACCCCTATATGTAAATTTTTACTAAGCCCTTCTCATGAGTTGATGAAAAGAGCTGCTTCTCCACCTTCTCTGACTTAGAGAACCTCATCACCAGTACTAGACGTTGGGGAACGGTTCTTCAGAGACTTTGGAAAAATCACTTTCCCCGGAATTTCTGCATGTGAGGGTGACATTGTTCCCTGGGCTGCAGAGACTGGGCCACGCAGACACTTCTCTTTACCCACCTTCCTGTGCTTGACACGCATCCCGGCATTAGCAGCGGGTACCCAGGTGGGCATCATAATGCTGCCGGGTTGTGTACTGTGTCCGGGGCTCCGGAGGGGGTGCGGGCGGCTTTGGTAGACAGGGAGATTCCACAGAGCAGTTCCATAGGCTTGTCCTCTGAGTCTTTGATGGTGGGGCCAGAACTGGAACCCAGGTTCACAGTCTATGGCCCCCTGCTGTGTGCACTTGGGTCTAATGATATCCTCTGCTTATCAATGTGGCAGGTGTCTCTGTGGGGGGCTGTCCACGGTATCTCACTAACCCCCCCACCCCTCAAGTATTATCACAGATATTATCCCCAGCCATTCCAAAGCAGTTTCAATATCAGTGTCTGGGCCACTCGCAGCTCCTTTGAGCACTGTTGTGTTAAGAGATTGGATGAAGGTTGGTCTTATAGTTTCAGCCTTTCCTGAACTCTGGTGGCACTGGGAACCCCTTACATGTGACCTTCTCTCCTGCTGGGTGTAAACACAGGATGAGGGAGAATGTGAGTAGTCTGAATGTGTTCAATTATTACTGAATCTAGGAATATAAACAACAGCATGGAAGAAGGAAACTTGCAGCCTAATTATAAACTAAATAATAATAAACCCAGAGAGCCTAAGTGGAGGGGGTGGAGTGAAAGAAGGAAATATACAAGATTTTATCACGAGTCAGAATATACTGGATACATCCTTGGCTAGTGTAATACCTGAGTGGGTGACACAAAACCATAAAGTTGTAGATTTCATCTTCTCCTCTCATTTACTAAAAAGTAGCAATCCTATCTCCTTTTGCCTAGGATTACAGGACAACCAGTACAGTTCAAATGACCAAATTGCCCTTAAAAACCTTCAATCTGATGTTACTGAGAAGAAATCTGACTTCACCGAGGTAATGTGTTTCTAACTTCTAGAGTAGTCAGCAAAATGCAGCCAACTATAAAACATGGTCATTGGCCTACTTATGATGTGTTTGCATTTTATTTTGTTTAGTCAAAACTGATTTAAGGCGGTAGAAAAATCTCACCACTGTTGACTAAGACTTGTTACATGAAAGTATGCAGTGTCTATTTAATTAGTCTTTTATAATCTTCACCAACAATTGGTGAACTTGCAGCATCGTTGGAGAGTATGGTGATTGAATCTCAATTTTAAACCAAAATTAATCTGCTGGAGAGAGAGAGAATGATGCCAGGCAACATGTCGAAGGTGGAGAAGAGAGCATTGGAAATCTCACAAGCTAGTACGCATCGTTACAACTGCAAAACGTGCCAGTAGGCTGAAATAGAAAATTAGAGGTCATATTTATAAAATGATATGTTTCTGATTCTAAAGAACAAAGCACTACAGAGTGCATTACAACAGTGGTTGATGTTACCAAGGTATCACAGACCAGGTCATGGATAATTGATGGACTCATTCCATCTTTCCCATAATCCTGGGAGGGTGGTATTATTATTATGCCCATTTTGCAGGTGAGGAAACTAAAACTCCAGTAGCTCCAGGAGTTGCTTTGCCCTGAATCTCCTAGTCCATATGCTGTCTGGCTCCAGAGCTTCTGTTCTTACCTTGCTCTAAAAGGCTGGCCATAAAGGAAGGCTCATTCCAGCTAACGCATCTTAAAATATGGACTTTCTTGCGTGAAAGAATAGTCATCCCAAGTGTTAGTTTATAAGGCATCTGTTGTCTTTCATGAGTGGATATTCTGCCATGAACTTTTTTTTTTTTTTTTACAAATAGTTTATTGTCAAATTAGTTTCTACATAACACTCAGTGCTCATCCCCAAAGTGCCCTCCTTCATGCCCATCCCCCCCTCCCCCCCACATCCATCAGTCCTCAGTTTTTGTCAGCATTCAAGAGTCTCTCATGGTTTGCCTCTCTCCCTTTCCCCCACCATTTCCGCCCTTCTTCTCCCCCTTGGTCCTCCATCAAGTTCCTCCTAATCCTCCTATACGTGCAAACATATGGTATTTGTCCTTCTCTGCCTGACTTATTTCGCTCAGCATAACACCCTCAAGGTCCATCCATGTTGCTACACATGCCATGAACTTTTGTAATTCTAAGAGATTGTAGAATGATAAGAATTGATGTTTCATGACAGATTAAAGTAGCAAAGGTATCTGTAAAAAATATCTTTCCCCCAAAATACTTGTCTTCAGTATTATCCTTTGATTTAGTTCTGCATGTAACGAAGCTTGACATTTCCTTCGGAGACCCCAGGCCTGAACTCCCACACAATGGAGAAAGGATGCTATTTTGGGTGCTGAGATCAGTCATCAATTTTGAAAGCCCTCTCTATGCGGAAGCGCCGAGCTCACTGTCTGAAGATGTAAAGATGCCTGGCTACAATTAATTTGTTCCCTGGGGAAAAGAGCAGGAACCGCAGGTCACAGGGAGGGAAATGAATAGGAGGAACAGTGGATCACTGGGAAGCATCCCTGAAAGGAGGTGCCCAGTTAAGAAGGGCAAGATAATGATCAAGTCGATTGTCACTCTTTTGAAGAAAGATAACAGCCGAAGATCTTGCCCACCTGATTTTCACACTGAGCTGGCAAATTCCAGCATTTGATGTTAAAATTAGTCGGTCTGGTTATTAGTGATACAGATCTTTGGGGCTATGTAGTTGGGTCCCTATAACACACACACACACACACACACACACACACACACACAGTCGTTATCTGTGACAGAATGAAACAACTCCCACAAATCACACTTTCTAAGCCTCCGCTTTTGGAATGATCTGGACCATCTACTTTGATCATATCAGTAGTGTGACTTTCAAATTTCCCTCCCAACTTTGAGCTTTTAAAGCTCATCCCCATGTGTTTGTTACAAGGGTGCTGTGCGATGATGGAGCACTCCAACGGATGCCCTTCCCTGTGCAACTGCCATAAATCTCCGCCTCTCTTCCCGAGCCTGTGCCAGATTGATCACTCTCCCTTTCAAAATTCGTCGAAGCTGTAGAAATGATATGCAGGCACTTCTTCAACCAGGTGATTATTTAAAAGGAATGAAATATGGAACAGTGTTTTCTTGTTAAAAAAAAACAACGTTTAAATTTTCCTGGTGACACAAGTAATGGAAGCTGCATCTAGACACGTAGGAAAATATAGAAAATACCTAAGAAAATATTTATATGTATTTTGCTCCCTTCTTTTTCCCATGCAATTTTTTTTACATAAAACTATAATGTATATCAACTTTTATAGCTCTCTTTTATTACATAACATTCTATCATAGGCAATTTCCCATGGCATCTAAATTCTTTGTAATCTTTATTTTTAATTTCTACAGAATATGACGCAGTTGTGCCTGCCATGATTTACTTAGCCGATCCCCTTTTAAAAGACATTTGGGTTCTTTCCAGCTTTTCACCGTTCTACATCACACTGTACCGAGTCCTTGGTTTCTTGTAAGTGCGTAGAATGACAAAAGTTTCAGGATGGAGATGGAGAAAACTCCAGTTCTTCTATTTGTCTTAAGACAGACAGACAGACAGACAGACAGAGAGAACTCATACATTGGGAAACACTCTTCCATCCATGATGAAATGCCATTAGGTTGATAGAAGACTTAGTGGGGATCATTCTGGATCCACCAAAGAGGAGTAAGCGTGCTTGCAGCTAACATGGTGGTGACTGTAGAGTGTATCTGTGTGGATATGGGGCCAAAGAATCCCTCCGGAGAACATGTAGGCTGCAGAGCAGCCCTGGAAAAGGGAGAAATAGTCAAGTGGAAGAAAATATAGATTTCAAAGCCACAGGTCGGATTAGATGCTTATCCTTTGGAGAAATAAATTGCTGCAAGAATGGAAGCATCCCCATTCCAGTGGTTCAGGATCTGAGGTCTCTGACCATCTGCCACTTATCTCTTCCTTCCTTCAGCTTATGAGATGGTGCCTTTCTTAGCAACGTGCCTTAAGGCAGAAATATAAAGTTAAAAACAGTCAATAAGATGGATAAAACTAGGAAAGCAGTTACCAGCCCTACAAAATCATGTTTGAAACATTTAAAAGAAATCAATATTTTAAAGCAGCATTTGTGAAAAAGAAAATGTACAAATGTGCATATTGTGTGAGGATGGTCAGGAAATGGGTGATTTATTGCCAAAGCAAGACACAGTATCCAACTATTCGACCTTGCTCTGACCTTGAACATTCTACTTTAAATGCAAGATTATTTTCTTTTCAAATCAAATCTTACATCAGTTAATCTTATTTTAGATAAAAGATACCTTTTTTCCCCCAAAGCCATGTTCAGTTAACCCAATATAAAGAACAGATGGAGTGGCACCCTGGAATAGCTTCACTGGGAAAGGTATTTGATGTGAAAGATGTGATTGCTTTTCTAAAAAGTTTCCCTGTTTGAAAAGCAGTGCGCCAAGTTAGGAGCATCAAATAGTGCCTGTGTCTCATCTCGTTCTTGGTTTCCCAGCCCCGGAAGAAGAGCTGGACACAAAGTGTGTATTGTGGTCTGTTATAGACTGGATTGTGTCTCCCCCCAACTCCAAATGCATGTGTGAAAGCCCTAACTCCCAGTGCCCTGGAGTCTGACTGTGTTTGCACAGCATCTTTCAAGAGGTAATTTAGGTTAAATGAGGTCACCAGGGTGGACTTTACCCAGTACCCTGACGGAGGAGGGCATTAGGACACAGTCACACACAGAAGGGAGAAAATGTGGAGATGCAGGGAAAAGAGGCAGAAGGAGCCATCCCTGCTGACCCCTTGACCTCCAACTTCCCGCCTCCAGAACGGGGAGGAAATAAAATTTCTGTTCCTGGAGCCATCCAGACCGGGGTGCTTTGTTATGGCAGCCCAGATCTTTAAGAGGTTGGACCTCAACTTTAATTATTTAATAGATCTCCATGAGAACATAGGATCCGACAAAGAGAACTTCCCGAACAAGACTAGGGTGCATATTGATCGGCAGAGTATGCTGTTTCATTTTTAACGTCTCTCAGTCTATCCATCGGGGCTTTTGTCAAAGCTGAGTGTAAGCCCCGGAGAGAACACAGTAAAATTTAACCAATAATCGCAGTCCTGACAATTTGATTACCTGCTTGGTGTTATCTCCAGTCTCTTAACTCCAAAGAACCAAGAAGTGTCCTCAGCCTGGCGTGTGCTAGATGGTCAGTAGATATTTCTGATGAGTTAATAAAGGGTTTGATCATGACCCTATGTTATAATGACAGAATTCACATCTAAAAGGGTTTCATTCATTCTACAGTCATGTTGACAAAATTGCAATGTATTCAGTGTGTGATGGGTTAATTCGATTTTTGTGTAATTCCAATAAACACAAATGCATTCATTATAAACGCCCCCTCACTCATTCATAGGTTTGAGTACATCAGATAGCCTCTGATTTCTGCTAAATCACAGAAAAAGTCATACCCTGGAGTTATAGAACGTGCTCATATTTTCAGACATGTACTTTCACATCTATCATTGTTTCTGATGTCCAAAACTACCCGGTAAGGGAGAGAAGGCAAACAGACTTTTCTTTGGAACTGGACTTCTATTAGCGTTTCTCCCTCAGGAGCGGCGTCACCCTGGCATACCGAGCTTCAGAATTAAGTTCAAATCCACACCATTCATTCTTGCCCTTCCTTCATCTGTTTGCATTTGATGGACTCAGAGTCACAGTTGCACCTGCCAGGCCTGAGCTAATGAGACGGTGGCTGGTTCTCTATGCCGTCCTCTGGGCTTCTAGGACCTCCTACAGTGGCGCCTGCCAACCCCACTGTGGCCCAGGGTGTCCCTCCTGCGTGGGCTCAGGCTGGGTCCCAGGAGCTCTGAGTCCTGGCCTGGCATTCCTTTCACCGTATCTGTGGTTAAAACATAGCTTCTGAGGGGCACCTGGGTGGCTCAGGTGGATAAGTGCCTGACTCTTGATTTCAGCTCAGGTCTTGATCTCCCGGTTTGTGAGATTGAGCCCTGAGTCCAACTCTGTACTGATAGCGAGGAGTCTGCTTGGAATCTGTCTTTCTCTCTGCCCCTCCCCTGCTCTCACAAAATAAGTAAATAGCTTAAACACACACACACACACACACCCACCCACCCACCCATAGCTTCTGGGTCTTATCCCCAGAGATCCTGATTCACTGTACGTCTAAAGAAGGGGAGGGAAGGGTCCAGAAGCCTGCATTTTTAACACCCCTCCCAACACCAGGTGTTTTTTATGCAAGTGGTCAGTGGCCCAAACGTTGGGAAACACTGCAATAAAGTATAAAATGAGACCAATGCAGCACGCTTTCCAAAATGAACATTTGCTTTTACCTCCAGGGACTGTTGTGAAAGGAATTCCTAGGAGGGATGATTGCACCCTGGGGAGGGCGCACAGGCACAATTATTATCAGAACTAAATGTAACTAAAATGGGAGGGACTCCGTACCGAGCCTGACTGCACGGGGGAGGCGCCAGGTGTCCTTCAGTTTCCTTGTACGTAAACTAGAGCCACGGAGAGCGCCCCGTGGAAAGCAGAGGGAAGCATTGATGGTGATTCTCAGCATCACCTGCCCACTGGAATCAAACTGGAAAGTTCAAAAAACGCAGATGCCTGGGCCCCACTCCCGGGGATTCTGATGGCATTGTTCAGGGATACGCTTTTTTACAAGCTCCCAGGTTGTAGGCTGAGAAGCGCTGAAGGGGAGGCCCCACCTTAAAAGAGGCTGAAGGCAGAGCCTGGCTTCCATTAGCCATCTGGGAAAAGGTAGCCAGTGATGTTGTGATTTTTAAGGAACTGAAGTAAATTTTAAGATGACTCTGTTTCTTCTTCACCTATCTATCTCTTGTGATCTTTTAAATTTACAACGTCCCATGCATCTTTCAAATTGAATCATGCATAAGGTGCTAGAGATTGCCATGAAAAACAGGAAAAAAGAGGAAAAAAATCAAGAAAGAGAAGCTGACCATCTTCTCGTGTTTAACAGTAAGAACGCAATGAGCCCCGGGTGCTGAGATCACACGTGCTGGGCCTTGCTTCAAAAGTCCAGGTGGGGGAAGCCTGACATCAGTTGCATAAATGAGTGTTAATCCTGTTCTGATGAAAAGAAAATTTTGTGCTTTCTCATCACATCGTAGAAGAGAAAAATTTTCTGTCATCAAACACAAGCGCTTCCCATCCTTGAAAAGACTAGCAGTGCCATGGTCTGTGTGTTTTTCTTTTTTGTTTTTTAAATGTTTATTTTGATGAGGGGAAGGGCAGAGAGAGAGGGAGAGAGAGAATCCCAAGGAGGCTCCTCACTGTCAGCACAGAGTCTGACATAGGGCTGGAACTCACAAACTGTGAGATCATGACCTGAGCCCAGACCAACAGTCAGATGTTTAACCGACTGAACCACCCAGGTGCCCCTCTGGTCACGTTTTTCAAAGTGCGCTCCCCGGATCAATGACACCAGGCTCATGGGATGTTGTTTAAAAAGCAGATGCCTGGGCCCCACCCACGGACCTAGAGAATCAGAATCTCCAGAGCCTGGGGAACGTGCAGTTGTAACATGCCAGGTGATTCTCGGGCCCCTTGGAGCTTGGAAATTGCTCTTACCTGCTGAGCACCAATTAAGCCTACAGGCTCTGCACGCGGTGGGAATTGAGTCGTTACCATATTATTTTGGGTCCTGGGCAGTTCCGGGCAAGGGTCGTTTGAAGCGTAGAATAATGAGCATCAAAATGGGGGTCTATGACCCTTCAGGCAGTGGCCCACATAGCTTTCTACAATGTTCCCACATACGCATATTAAAAACAAATCCAGGACCAAAGAGATTCCTCCTGCAGGTGCTGACCTGGTTCGATGCTTTCTTAAAAATCTCAGTGCGTTGTTTTGGGCATAGATGGGCTGGTAAGGAAGCCTGGAACACCCAGATCTGTCTCTGGACAGAAGCCGTGCCCAGGCCCCTGAGCACTGCCGGGCAGCAAAGCTCCATCTGTCTTGTTTGGGGCCCCCTCCTTGCTGATAAGTGATTATCACAGTCGCTATGTTAGTCTAGGTAACTGTCCAGCTTCAGGGTTTGCATTTGTTCTGCTGTCTGGGATTTGACCCCCCAGGATGGCATGAATGGGGAAGCACTGAATGACAGTCTAAATTAGCAAAGGGGGAAGATTGTGTTAGGGGGGTGGTGACCCAGGCAGAGAGAGCTCCTCGTGGAGGAGCAAGGACTCATCTCCTGCATAAACTGGTGCCCGCGAGTCCCAGCCCTGCTGCAGAACTGTGTCCTGCCTTCCCCGTGAGGCTGAGAACCTCTATTCAGGTGTTCCTGGGCCTGGTGGAGGTGATTATCAAAATTTGATGATACCCAGCAGGGAAAACCAATTCCCCAGTCAGAAGAATGATTCCAGAAGGTATAGATGTATCATAAACAGATCTGAGTGTTCTGCCCTTATGAGTGTGCAGAGGTGGTGTCAGGTGTGGGGTAAATGGCCTTGGACAAGAACTCGGTTCTGGACGTCCTCCTGGCCCTTGAAAGAGTTTACTGCCTGCGTTACAATGGACTGCTTGAATAATTGCCATCTTTTCCCATTTGCAGGAGACTCTGGCATCGCGAAACACAAAAATGATTTCATCCGTGGTCATTTCACAGCTGATTGATGAGAATAAATCAAAGGCAAACCGGGCCGCGCTGCCCGCGCCCTGCGCGCCCGCTCTGCACACACATCCCGCCAAGCCGCCTCGGGCAAACCGCAGCGGGGTCTCCATCAGCCGGGCGTTCACCTCCCTCCCTGACAGGCTGGGCACCCAGACACCCGCAGAGGGGCCAGGACCTGACACGGAGCTGCGGTCCAGTGAGGAGAAGCCATGCAGTGGCTCCCAAAGGGGCTTTGCGTCCATCACCATCACGGCCAGGCGCGTGGGCCCCCCAGCCATCGCCCTGGCATGGGAGGCCATGGGGGACCCTGTGTGCACCAGGTGCACAGCCCAGGGTGCTCTGCTCAGGGACCCCTGGGCTCTGGCCAGGGTTACCAATCCCTGTAGGCACCATGGACCATTCGCCTGCGCAGAGGTCTCCAGAAACTTCTCTGTGGTGAGGCAGCAGCATCCGGAGACCCACTCCCAGCTGTGCGAGGGTCACCAGTGCTGGGTCACCAGTGCGGACTGCAGAGAGAACAGTTTTCCCCCAGGGGCCCCGCGGTCCGGCAAGAGGCCGCTGGTGTTCAGCTCCTGCGTCCATCTCAGGGTGTCTCAGCAGTGTCCAAATTCCGTTTACTATCTAGACCGGTCCCTCTCCGTCCCCATCGAGCAGCCTCAACTTGCCGGCCCTAAAATGCACAGGTCGGTCCTGTCACTGCACCTAAATTGCAGTTCGCACAGATTGACACCAGATGGAGTAGATAGCACGGCGAACGGAGGGCCAAGGAGCAGAGCCTCGAAGCCGGAGCTCACCCAGGGAAACCAGAACCCCCTGGGCCCCCGCTGGAGCCCAGGTTTGCACTACGGTCTCTTGAAGGAAAACCCACCGCTGGAGCAGGTACGTTTGGGGCCCAGCACCTGTCCTTGGAGTGGCTCGCCTCTGTTGGAAGATGCCGAGTTCTCGGATGTGGGAGCCAACCAGGTCACTGTAAGAAAAGGGAAAGAGGACTACGCAGCGCCACCCGCCGACCAGCTGTCCATTCACATTCCTGGCTGGAGTTACAGAGCAGGTGAGGGACACTCCCCTCCTCGGGAGGTGGGGCCGCCAGGGACGGATCCCCATCCGTCGGGTAATCTGTGCAAGTGGCCGTACAAGGCGAATGGTGAGTTTCTTCTACGTAACTTATTCCAAAAGGTAGTTCTCAGAAGCATTGCTTTCTCCACTCGGCTCTAAGTTGGCAATTGATAGGTGGGTGTTGATGTCCGCCTTGGATTTGCACAGGTACTTTTATGGATTATAAGAGACCTTCCCTTTCCAGCAGTAGCACCAGACCCTGTAATGTAAGGAGCAGGAAACTATAGGCCCCAAATGAAGTTCATTTAGGTCCATGTCATTCCAGAACAGGGTGAGGAGGTCAAAGTGCTGTCCGCTCTCAGAGGGTCTTGCTTCTTTGGTCTGAACATCTGAGTGTCTAGAAGCATCCACAGTACAGTAGTTCTTATCTTTCAATCAGATAGTTGGTATTTATGGATTGGTCTTAGAATTCTAGTGTGTGTGTGTGTGTGTGTGTGTGTGTGAGAGAGAGAGAGAGAGAGAGAGAGAAAGAGAGAGAGAGAGAGAGAAAATATATGTATATGGGGGGGGAGAGTAGTAATTATGGGACATTTTCAAAAAGAGGCACATTGGGAATTCTACCTGCCAAACAGCAAAAACAGAAGTTTTTGCTTCCTGGGCTGTGTTTTCTGGGGCAACGCGGCTAGAATGTGTTGCTATTTCTGCCATTGCCAGGGCCAGGCAGAATTCCCAAGGTCAGCCGCCCTGGGTGCCCTTCACCTTTCTTAGGAGATCAGGAAGCCGAAAGCAGTCCTTAGCCCCAGGCCAGATTTATGTCTCTGTATAAACTTCCAGTTTTCAGTTCTACTTTCTCCGGGAGCCTCTGATTTATGAATTAGTGACTTTGCACTTGGGGAAAATATTTAAAGATAATAATAGTAAAATTGGAAATGCAGCATACGCACAATAATTTTATAGTATAATTTTTGTCCATTAAGGCTTTATTAATTAATAAAAATGGCTGTAAAACATTTTAAGCAATAATGTGCGTAGACATGGTAAATGGTGTAATTAATTTTAACAAGAGTGTATATATTGAATGCTCGCAGATTTTTAAGGCCATTTGACATGGCTTTCAGGTTGATTAGACCATTGAAATGCCCCTGAGTCTTACAGACTTACTGCGAAAAGTAAATGTAAGCCTCTCTCAGTGTTGCAAAAATGGGCCTCAATTTAGTATTTTAAGAAGTTGCTCAAGTCAACCACTTCCTCTTCCTTGTTGATATAGATTCTGGAAACGTACCATCCACATCATTCTATGTCTGCCACCTCCACACTGGAGCGTATCCTTGTTTTTACATTGTGTCTTGTGGGGTGAAATAATCATTTGGGTTTATGACAATTTTGCCAAAGGATCTTTTTTAAAAATATATATATTTTTTAAGTTTTTATTTTCAACAGAGAGAGAGACAGAGAGAGAGTGTGAGCTGGGGAGGGGCAGAGAGAGAGGGAGACACAGAATGTGAAGCAGGCTGCAGGCTCTGAGCTGTCAGCACAGAGCCCAACACGGGGCTCAAACTAACGAACTGTGAGATTGTGACCTGAGCCAAAGTCGGGCGCCCCACCAAAGTGTCTTTAAAGATCACTAGAGCAAGATCTCAAACATTGATTTCGGAAGAGAGGAGCAGAAGCAGGAGCAAATCCCCACCCCCCACCCCCAGGGGATGTGGCTTTGGTGCAGAGAAGATGCTTGATCTTGACTTTGTGGAATGACAGCTCGTGTAACTGGTGTTCTTGGGCAAACAGTATGAATGAATTCTACTTCCCGTGGGCCGACTTTGTTCAGAACCACTGCCTATCCCAGAGTTCCCATGGAGAATTTGAGTGGCTCTGAATCACGTGGCCTCATCTGACCATTTAAGGAAACATATTCACAGAGGCCAGATCACCGTTTTTAGAGTTGCTGATCGATTATCTTCTAGCTCGGGGAGTGTGGACAAACCACCCTGACTCTCTGAGCCTGTTTCTGCATCTGGGGAGCTGAAGAAGGGGGGCATTCAGTGTTCTGGAAGGTCCCCTCTGGCTTGAAAAAAGCACTCTGCCCTCTTATCCTGAGGTGAAATCTGTGAGTGAGAGTGTCCCTGTGACTCTGGGTCCCTCAGTTGTTAAGCTCAAAACCACAGAGCCTCGAGCTCGCCATTTTGGGCACACGGCTCAGAGGTGTACATAGGCACATGCATGCATCACACATACAACCCACCTGGTACTTTCAGACTTTCTCACTCAGAAACTAATCTGTGAGGGAAAGTACGTCTTCCCAGGTGACAAGAATGTGCTTCTTGTCCACGCTGTTGAAGTTTTGCCTGGGATTTACAAACATGACCCGTGGGCTGTAGCCGCCACAGTCTGTCGTGGGCTAACATACACAGCACGTCGAGGGGGAGATCGCTGACCTTCAGTCTTGACGAAACTTTCTAGCCTCACTGCAAGTGTTTTCTGACAGGGGCAATGCTCATGAAGCTTCCGAGGAGCTGTTTGTATTTCCTGTCTGGAACTGGGATCTTGTCTGAGGCGTTCTCGACAGCCTCCCGTGGCCGCACTTGCTGTGAGCAGTCTTCCTATTTTCATAGTTACTGAATCTGATTCTTTTTATCTGAAGGATCCCCAAATCCCAGGGGAGCAATGTCCTCTTGAGCTGCCTTACTGACATTCAGCTGCAAGGGAGGCACAGCCTGGGAGATTCTACAAACAGAGACAGGGCAGCTTCGATTTTAGTGCTTAGCTCATCAGACAGGAAGTCCTCTGAATTATATTCTAGAACAAGCCTCCCAGATACACCCAGAAAGATTGCCAAGATTAGGGATAGTGCGAGTCTTGCAAACATTTGGTGTGGTACAGATAGGCCATGTCTACTGGGGCATCACATTCTAACAGAAAGAGGGGGACCCATTCTCTTTCTAGGGGCTGGAGGCTTAGGAATGGGTTCCTGCCTTGCCCTTCTCCTCTGTCCCTGTGTGTTTATACCTTGCATCTCTGCTGTCGGTGCGTCCCCTGCCAGCACTGGCTAGATGACATTGTGCGACTCCCGGCCCTGCTGGAAGGAAGGCTCACTGCCATCAGTAGCTCCTCCTACCAACAACCAGAGCAGGTGCCATGCAGATCCTGGGTGCCCGGCCCTGGCTGAGATCTGCTGTGTCCGGTACTTGGAATCCTTCGAACTATTCTGTAAAGACAATATCGCTGTCCCTATTTTGCAGATAAGACTAATGAGTCTTGAAAATGGGATGATATGCCCAAGTCCACATGGCCATGAAGTGCCAGAGCTGAGGACAGTCCTGAGCACTTGGCTCCCCCCTGTACTCCCTTCCCAGCAGCAGCCGAAGCAGAGGAGTTGGATTGGTGGGGACCCTCTCAGTGGCGGACCCTGTCTTCCACTGTCACCACGAAGGTGATGTTTGATGACCACTCATGGACATCCAGAGTAATATTAGTATCTGGTGGCCAGAATCTAACAGGAGAGGGAGCTACTCAGTTCATCTACAATTAAATGTAATAAACCACGTCATTTGGTACAGTTAAAATTTATTGGCTCAGAAATCCTTCCCAGCCTGAAATCCCATTCCTTGTGGTGTTCTGTGGGGTGTACAATATTGATCTGAGTAGTTCTCCCTTTGCTGGGTGTTGCACGCCTGAAACAGTACTGACTTTGATACGTAACTTCTGGTCAGTTGCACTTGGCATTTGTGGCCTAGATCTGAAGCTTTCCCCTGTTCCCCAGGGCATCCGTCGAAGTTTGTTAGATGTTGTTGGAGAGGAGACTTTGGCGTGCACTTTTCTCCATGTGTCCCAACTGCTGGTGTGCTGTGGCAGTCTGTTGTCCCAGCAAGTCCCAGCCGGTGCTCAGGCCGCTGGTGGCCTCGGTCTGACACGTCTCTGGTGGGTCATCTGGGGATCGAAGCATCACTGGTGATCAAAGATGTGAATGGCTGGAGGGGATTCGCTGGAGAGGAATGACTGGATCCCTACTAGGATCACAAGGCGAGGGCTGTGGCCCCCAGGGTGCTGATGCTGGACTCCAACACATGGGTAGTGAGTGGGGTTTATGTCATGATGCAAGCACTTCCATCACTCAAGAGAAAATGGGAGGCTAGATGCATATGTGTCAAACCTTCCAGAGAAACTACATTAGGCTCTACTCCTTCAGTCCCATGAGCACTGCTTCCGAGAGGAGCCAGAAGAGATTTGAGGAATGCTTATTTTACATATGTGATTTTTCTTGAATGATCGAGAACTGGGGTCTACAAACTTGTTTTGGTAAAGGGGCCAGATGGTCTCCATAGCAACTGTTCCACTCCGCTCTTGTAGAACAAAAGCAGCCACAGATGAGGCATGCATACCTGAGTGTGCCCGTGTTCTAATAAAACTTTATTTACAAAAACAGACAGTGGACCAGATTTGGCCCACCGGCTGTGATGTGCAGACTCTGAATCATTCATCCCCCCACACAAATGTCACCCTGTGTGCCAGTTTTGCGTGTTGGATCCTCTGGAGACCCAACTCTGAGAGGGAGATCAGTAGGCACTATTAGGGAGTGGTCTTGGCGTCCATGGATGGGAAGGGACAAAAGCAGGAAAGGGCAGAGGCAGTAGTCACTCTGTGGTACAGTCATAACGAAGGCCTTAGGGAACTCTGAATTTGGGACGGCCCATCACAGTTCTGAGTCAAGGCAAGGAGGCTGTGCCTTTATCCCCCCTGGGGAGGGGATGTGACTGTGTATGAGGCAGCTCTCTCTACCAGCCAACTGCCACAGTCTTGGTGGACCCCCTGCAGCAGGGGTGGGTGTTGGGCATTGCAGTGTACATCACGGCTGGCCATCCCAGGATGGCTAGAATTGACCTTTCCCCTTTGTGACCTCATACTTCTCCAGAACAACTCAGACATCTTGCACAGCCTGGCCCGGGGCAGTGAGGTGTGGACACGGGCTTGGGAGTGGCCCTCAGTGCCTGTCCAAAGAGG